CCCCCCCCCCCCCCCCCCCCCCCCCAGCTGCAGGACGTAATAGAAGGTTCGTGGACTTATGGCTGACACAGCATGTTCCAAGCAGCTGCAATACTAGTCACATCTCGATGGCCTTTTCCTCGCTGTGGATGCCACAGTGTTCGAATGGCTGTGAGCCTCATTCAGCGGGGATGAACACTGCTATTTCCAGGGCGTCCCTGGGCAAGCCGACGCAAGGAGAGGGTAAGTGACACACCCAAGGCTATGCAGGAAATCAGTGGCAAAGCTTGGACTTGGCAATAGGATTGCGGCTGTCTCCCATGACCACATATGGTCAAGGCCTCAGTGTTAAGTGTGAGAGGACTGCTGGTTCTTCCTCCTAACTCAGGACTTGAGACCAACTCCCCATCTATTTCCCCAATAGGATGACAGTGTCCTACCCCTGTCTCCCTGTGCCATGTGCCTCCCTGTTATGTGCTGCTGCCATGTGCCTCCCTGTCAACCAGCCGACGGGACGATCGGACTCACTGACCACGATGGACGACAATGGTCCTTCCGGACATTATAGCCTGGGAATTGATGAATGCTCTTCTTCCTGGATGGCAAACTCTACTCAGGAAGCACCTCGGGGAGGAGAGTAACGGAGCTAAGTGGGGGAAAGCAGGGTTGTATTCACACCCCCGAGTCCCAAGGGCTGGGGTGGGGATGGGGAGAGTGGCCTGGATGCCCTAGCTCTGGACAGCCAGGGGCCAGGAGGGTCACCTGTCTGAGCAAGGGTGGTAGTGCAGATATCCTGGGATCCTGCCCTGGGATCTCAGGGAAAGGAGCTGCCCCACAACTCCCCACACAGCATGGAGAAGAGATGGCCCCTGCTTCTGATGCTCCGCTGCCCCCACACCTCCCCTCTTACCTTTGGTGCCAGGTCATTATAGTCGTAAAGCTCTTCATAGAGGCTCGGGTCGAAGAACTCTCCCTCGCTGTCCAGGCTGAGGTCAAAGTCGTAGTTGGGCAGGTCCAGGTTGTCATACGTTGGGAGGGCAGCTCCAGGCTTCTCGATCTTCTTCTTGCCTTCTTGAGGCGAGGTGGCCGTGGCCAAGGCCAGTGCCAGGGTGGTGAACCCCAGCAAGGTCGCGCTCTGCATGCTGCGGGCAAACAGGGAGCAACGAAGCCCGTTTGTCCCTGCTCATCTCCTTCCAGGGTGGGGGCGTGAAGGGTTTGACCTGGTTCACCAAGGCATGCTTACTGGTTCTTGTTAACTGGGGGCGGGGGCAGCCCCACCCACCTGTTGCCCCTTTAATTGTTTAACGCTGAGTTTAAGCAATTAACCAATTAAACAGGATTTGATGTGCCTACTCCAGGACTGAGCCCTGCATGCACAGCACAGGGCTCTGATGCCCCAGGAGCACTTATCAGATGAAGACTTGCTGGTAGAATAGCACTGGTATAACTGCCATGGGGCAGATTTGAACCTGGGACCTCGGTGTAGGTGCCTCTACCGCTTGAGCTAAAAGCCAGCTGCTTCTCAGCTTAGGCTGTAGAGCTGTCTTGTTCTTAGCGCTCATGGCACGTGGTCTAAGTGCCACTCCATGGGACAGTGACCCACACCAGGTGGGTGGGTTACACAGGGAACCCAGCACTAGAAGAACTAGTCAGGGAGCAAAGTACATCAGCAGAGCTGGCTACTGGGAGCCCAGGCCTGGCATCCTGGTAGTGAGAAACACTCTGCTCTTATGTGCAACGTGAGGCTGGCTCGGCGATATTCTTCCCTCTGCACAGCAGGGGAAACTGAGGCACCAACGTGTGGAGTGACTTGCCCATGGTCATGCAGTAGATCAGTGTCAGAGTTGGGGACAGACCCCAGGAGCCCTGATGCTTGCTTTCCCCTGCTCTAGCCACTAGATCCCAGTCCCTTTATGAGCTAGGATACAAACCAGGAGCTGTGTGACCCCCTCCGGAGCCAGGCTGTTCTCAGATGGACGACTGAGAACCTGACCCTAGCCCTATGGGCAGGACCAGAGCTTGTCTTGGCTAGAGATGGCTCTTTGAATATCTTACAGGGGACAGCCACAGCCACTAGCGCGAGTGGATCGCTTGCCAGCCCTCTCTCTTCCTCCAAGCAGTGCCCACGAGCAGAGACGCTGCCTCATTACTAGAGGGTACACGCTAGCAGGGCCGTCCTTAAGGGTTAAGGTGCCCTATGTGGGCACCAAGGGGGCAGCTGCTCCGTGAGAGGGGAGGGGCTGCAGGAGCAGGGCAGGGAGGCGTTGATGCGAGAAGTGGGCGATGCTACGGCACCTCCCCATTTTGTGTGGGGTTCTGGCTGCCCTGTGCGCGGGTTCCAGCTCCCACCCAAAGCTCCACTGCTGGCCCCACGCCTGCTCACCTGGAGCCCACTGGTCCCACTGGCCAGAATCCCTCAGCCCACTCCTGCACCCAACCTCTCACCCAGACCCCCACCCTCAGCCCACTCCTGCACCCAACCTCTCACCCAGACCCCCACCCTCAGCCCACTCCTGCACCCAACCTCTCACCCAGACCCCCACCCTCAGCCCACTCCTGCACCCAACCTCTCACCCAGACCCCCACCCTCAGCCCACTCCTGCACCCAACCTCTCACCCAGACCCCCACCCTCAGCCCACTCCTGCACCCAACCTCTCACCCAGACCCCCACCCTCAGCCCACTCCTGCACCCAACCTCTCACCCAGACCCCCACCCTCAGCCCACTCCTGCACCCAACCTCTCACCCAGACCCCCACCCTCAGCCCACTCCTGCACCCAACCTCTCACCCAGACCCCCACCCTCAGCCCACTCCTGCACCCAACCTCTCACCCAGACCCCCACCCTCAGCCCACTCCTGCACCCAACCTCTCACCCAGACCCCCACCCTCAGCCCACTCCTGCACCCAACCTCTCACCCAGACCCCCACCCTCAGCCCACTCCTGCACCCAACCTCTCACCCAGACCCCCACCCTCAGCCCACTCCTGCACCCAACCTCTCACCCAGACCCCCACCCTCAGCCCACTCCTGCACCCAACCTCTCACCCAGACCCCCACCCTCAGCCCACTCCTGCACCCAACCTCTCACCCAGACCCCCACCCTCAGCCCACTCCTGCACCCAACCTCTCACCCAGACCCCCACCCTCAGCCCACTCCTGCACCCAACCTCTCACCCAGACCCCCACCCTCAGCCCACTCCTGCACCCAACCTCTCACCCAGACCCCCACCCTCAGCCCACTCCTGCACCCAACCTCTCACCCAGACCCCCACCCTCAGCCCACTCCTGCACCCAACCTCTCACCCAGACCCCCACCCTCAGCCCACTCCTGCACCCAACCTCTCACCCAGACCCCCACCCTCAGCCCACTCCTGCACCCAACCTCTCACCCAGACCCCCACCCTCAGCCCACTCCTGCACCCAACCTCTCACCCAGACCCCCACCCTCAGCCCACTCCTGCACCCAACCTCTCACCCAGACCCCCACCCTCAGCCCACTCCTGCACCCAACCTCTCACCCAGACCCCCACCCTCAGCCCACTCCTGCACCCAACCTCTCACCCAGACCCCCACCCTCAGCCCACTCCTGCACCCAACCTCTCACCCAGACCCCCACCCTCAGCCCACTCCTGCACCCAACCTCTCACCCAGACCCCCACCCTCAGCCCACTCCTGCACCCAACCTCTCACCCAGACCCCCACCCTCAGCCCACTCCTGCACCCAACCTCTCACCCAGACCCCCACCCTCAGCCCACTCCTGCACCCAACCTCTCACCCAGACCCCCACCCTCAGCCCACTCCTGCACCCAACCTCTCACCCAGACCCCCACCCTCAGCCCACTCCTGCACCCAACCTCTCACCCAGACCCCCACCCTCAGCCCACTCCTGCACCCAACCTCTCACCCAGACCCCCACCCTCAGCCCACTCCTGCACCCAACCTCTCACCCAGACCCCCACCCTCAGCCCACTCCTGCACCCAACCTCTCACCCAGACCCCCACCCTCAGCCCACTCCTGCACCCAACCTCTCACCCAGACCCCCACCCTCAGCCCACTCCTGCACCCAACCTCTCACCCAGACCCCCACCCTCAGCCCACTCCTGCACCCAACCTCTCACCCAGACCCCCACCCTCAGCCCACTCCTGCACCCAACCTCTCACCCAGACCCCCACCCTCAGCCCACTCCTGCACCCAACCTCTCACCCAGACCCCCACCCTCAGCCCACTCCTGCACCCAACCTCTCACCCAGACCCCCACCCTCAGCCCACTCCTGCACCCAACCTCTCACCCAGACCCCCACCCTCAGCCCACTCCTGCACCCAACCTCTCACCCAGACCCCCACCCTCAGCCCACTCCTGCATCCAGCCTCTCACCCAGATCCCTCCTCACCCAACCTCTTGGCCAGACCTTGCACCTCCATGCCTTCCTGCTCCCATTTTGTCATCATGGGTGGTTGGCTGGTGGTCTGCAGAAAGGTCTGTGTTGTGCAAGGTGGGTCGCAGGCCAAAACGTTGGAGCCCCGCTGCTCTAGAGCCTACACGGTCTAACTCGGGGATTTCCCACCCAGGGCTCCTTCTCCAAACTAAGGGCAGGATGCACAACGGCAATGATGAAATCCAAACTCCATTAGCTCCCTCGCACGGGGGATTCACTTTCCCCAGAAGCTGCTAATGCCTGGCGAGCCGCCCATCGCCTGATCATACTCAAAGCGTGTGGCCCATCTGTGTGTATCCGCAAACACAGGAGCACACACATGCACAAACAAACACGTCCGCACGCCCGTGCCCGCACAAACGCACCCCTCCAAACCAACACACACGCAGCCATACTCCGGTGCACCAGCGCACACGGCCACTTCACACACGTGCAAGCCACACCCCTGTGAATACACAGATGTGCATGCACCGAGTGGCACACACGTCTCGAGCACAGCGCTCTGCGGTCTAGCTAAGCCAGTGCTGAATTGCAAATGACCCTGGACCTTCGTCTCGGCTGGTTCCCCGCAGATCAAACCCAGCATTGAGAGAGTAACAAAAGAGCCTTCAAAAGACACACTGCAGGCTCCCCGTGTGCGCTCAGCACAAGCCCCCAGGTAGCCCCCTCTCTCCCCACGACGCCTCTGAAGTGAGCAGGAAAGCCCCAGCGCTCAGCTCCTCCGAGAGACAGCGAGAGAAGCCCAAGCCCCACACATACCCTCCCCCGGTCGTGGGTCTGCCCCGGAACAGTGTGCGGGGACCAAAAGGCCTGCAGAGGCTTTAATGAGGGGGAAGGGGGCTGGGGGTGGGAGTGTGAGGGGAGAAGCAGCAAGTGCAGCCAATCAGGGTGAGGATTTTTCCATCTCAGCGCTCAGCTCCTCCGAGAGACAGCGAGAGAAGCCCAAGCCCCACACATACCCTCCCCCGGTCGTGGGTCTGCCCCGGAACAGTGTGCGGGGACCAAAAGGCCTGCAGAGGCTTTAATGAGGGGGAAGGGGGCTGGGGGTGGGAGTGTGAGGGGAGAAGCAGCAAGTGCAGCCAATCAGGGTGAGGATTTTTCCATCTGTCACCTGCACACAGCCCCAAATAAATCCCCCAAGCCAAGTGCTGGTCCCTCCAAAGGCAGTGGAGCATTGCCATGGGACCAGTGTACAGGCTGCACAGGGCCTGGGGCACCCCCTTTGGCTGGGCTCCTCGTTGAGACACACGCGTAAGGGCTGGCTGCTCTCCCCTTGCACAGTGCAGGGTGTTCACGGAGGAGCACATGGGCACAAGCAGAACCGTGCAATGAGAGGCACGCGCAGAGGGCACGCGCAGTCCATGAAAAGCCTGGCGGCAGGGGCAGAATTTGCTGAGAAATACTCGGCTAGAAGCTCTCTAGATCTGGCCAGTGTTAGGCAGGAGCGGGTGATCACAGTGGCCTGAAAATCTACCAACCGGCGGTGCCAGGCTGTGGCCCTTGGATCACCAGGGCTGGCTGGAACACACGTTCCCCACTGAATGTCACCCAATGCACCGGGCTTGCTTCCTCCCGGCTGCTTTCCCGGGAGGGGAAGTGTCCACACACCACGCTCTGTGGAGATGGCATCCGCCCACACGGAGCTTTACCCTGGGCTCGGATGCAGTTGAGAACGGTCAGGCTGGTATTTCATGTGAGTTTAGCCCTGAGGCAGGGAACCGTGCATTAAGGAGGTAGGTCTCAGTGGTTTGGGGCCAGCCACTGTGCCTGGACAGATCCTTCTTCGGTGGGTGCCACCCCCTGTTCTGAGTGGGGTCCTTGGTGGGTGGGTGCCGCCTGTTGGGTGCTCACAGGCTGTGTTGTGACTGCCGTGCCGGCCAGGCAGGTCCCATGTCATAGCAACCGGGCGGCTGTTTCGATTCAACGCCTCATCAAAAACTCGGTCTTTGTAGCCAACACGCCACCCCGGTTCCCAACCCCCATCCCGCCCCCGCACAAGAGATTAGTGCCGGCTCGCACCTCGGCAGCGCTGTTGCTTTGGAAACCTGGGAGGGGGGGGGGGGGCCGTGGGGCCGCTCCCCTCTAGGTAGGACAGCGGCTCTGCTGCGTCCCTGCTGCACGACTGTCACAGCCCCCTTGGAGGCACAGCCTGGGTGGGACCCTGGGAGGAGGTGTTGCGGGGCTGCCTGGCTGCTGACCGCTTGCGAGCCCAGACCAGCAGCAGGCCCCTCCTGAGCTATGCGCTGCCCACGTCCTCAGCAGGGAGGCCGCCCCGAGCTGGCTGCACGAGCCCATTGCATGCCAGGTGGCCAGGGGCACCCGCTGGAGAACAAGGCTTCACACCGCCTCGGCCGTCCCTTCCTGGGCCCAGGAGAAGGGCTCAGAACCTGGCCGCTTGGAAAGCAGAGCAGAGGAGGTTGATGGGCAGGTTGGGCTCCGCGTCCAGGCCCGTAGGGCTGGGCCGAACTCCTGCATTTCCCCTTCCTGTTACAAGCATTGTCCTATTTTCTCGGCTGAGCTATCCCACGTCCCCCACCGCCTGCCTTGCGAGGGAATTAGGGTTGTCAGATACTTTCACAAAAAATACCAAACATGGCAGGAAAAAAAAAACCCAACCGCACAAAAAAAAAGAGTCACTGCGCCTTTAAATCTCCCCGCTCCCCCCGCCAGACGCAGCAGGGGAACAATGTCCCAAGCGACCTTCCGTCCAAGAAAAACAGAAAATGCTGGGTATTTTTGTCTGGTATTTTCTTCTTTTTTTTTTTTTACTGGACAGAGGCTGCAAATACCAGACACCTGGCAACTCTAGAGGGAATGCAGGTGGCCCAGAGCATAGACACAGTGTGCCACAGCTGGGAACATAGCCACGGCCGGTTCCCTCTTCCAGCATCCTCCTGGAGGAGCCGATCTCCTGAGCCCATCGGTGCTGTTCCTCCATTGTCTGGAGGGGCAGTACAGGCACACAGACCCTCCCCCCCTTCCAGAGCTAAGTGTGTGTGTGTTTGTAACCCCTCCCAGCCACTGGAGAGAGACCCCACAATGCAGCCTCGCACCCAGGCCGGAGAACACCAACCACCCGGAAGCTCAGCCCGTCCTTCGAACAGGTTCTCCAGCCTGTGCCATTCCTGATTCCCTGTCAGCCTACAGCCCCGGAGCTGATGGCCTCTTGCTCCCCAACGTGGCAGCAGCGGGAAGCACTGGAGAGGCAGCGAGCGGAGCCCCCAGGCCGAGCAGGGAGTGACTCGGGAAGACGAGCAGGGTCCGTGGCAGGGCAGGGGAAGAAGCTCTGCGCGGAGGGCGGGGGTGTCAGTGAGAAAGCCCGGCTCACACGCCCCTCGCCGTGTCTGTATCGCAGCCTGTCTGGTCGCGGCGGTGTGCCAGGCAGCAGCCAAGGGAAGACGTTTATCCCCCTCCCGCCTGCGGGTCTGGAACGGAAGCAAGTAGGGCAGAGCCTGGCTGGATTGCCCCCTCTCTGCTCAGAAACCAGGGAGGAGCACGCCGGCTGAGAGGGACCACAAGGGAAAGTCCCAGGACGGCAGCGTGGCATGGTGGCCTCGTGGGGCTTGGGAGTCCATTCCCAGCCTGGTCGCGGCTTTGCGGCAGGACCTTTGGCCTGGCACGGCTCCGTGCCTCAGTTTCCCCCCTGTAAAATGGGCGCAATGTGCCGAGCTGTGAGGACAGCGTCTCCACCAATAGACCTTTAGCGCAGCATTAAGCCGTTGGCTTGTACGTTATGTTGCACGTTGAGCGGTTGCGGCGGCTGTTGTTATCGGAAGGGGGGTGTTAGTGGGAACTTGCATCCTGCTGATGGCTCTGGAGTCATTCCTCACAAGGTTCTCATGAATCTCTGTCTTTCTAGAGCGGTATTGACCTCCATTGTAAAGCACTTTGAGAGCCGTGAGTGACAAACGCCAGCTAAGATTAGGCGTTATTATTCCAGGTTAGGGGGCCATTAAGGTACCTCAAGAAGAGAGGGCAGTCGGTTAGTGGGAACTTGCATCCTGCTGATGGCTCTGGAGTCATTCCTCACAAGGTTCTCATGAATCTCTGTCTTTCTAGAGCGGTATTGACCTCCATTGTAAAGCACTTTGAGAGCCGTGAGTGACAAACGCCAGCTAAGATTAGGCGTTATTATTCCAGGTTAGGGGGCCATTAAGGTACCTCAAGAAGAGAGGGCAGTCGCATTGAGTGAATAGGGGGCAGGGTGATGCGGGGGGTGCAGGAGTCAGGCCTGAGTGTGAAGGGGCCCATGGCTGGGGGCTGGAGGGGTGAGTGCGGGGGTGCAAGGGCACCATTTCAGGACGTCGGGGGGCCCGTGCTGCTGCCGCGCATACCCGGTCACTGCTGCTCCTCTTCCGACCCCCAGGGAGCCATGGGAAAATTGCAGAGCCTGCTGCATGCTCCTCTGCCCTCCCCTCAGCAGCTAGGAGCAAGAGGACAGCACAAGCTGAGCACTTTCCCCTGGCTCCTTGATAGTCAGGGGAGAGGAAGAAGACCTGGTATGTGCAGCTGGAGGGGGGCAAGGAGCTGGGGCAGCCCCAGACTGGGAGGGGCACAGTGCCTGGCTACCTGCTGCTTAGCAAGGCACCTGATAGCGAGGGGAACTTGCATCCTGTGTTGCATGAAGAGAGGACAGAGTAGCAAAAACCGGGACCGTCCTCTCTGAAAGAGGATGAATGGTTGCCCCATAGCTAGGCGGGGGAGGGAGGGGGGGGGCGCTGTATGGCTGCAGGACTGGGGGACGTCCATTACCAGGGCATGCAGGGCGGGGGGGCTGAGATTGGCAGAGAAGAGCGGGTTGGGGAAGGG